AACAAAAATGCTTCAAGTAATTTTCTGTCTCTTTAATGGAAGCTTAAGGCAGACTACACATCTATCCATGCATCCATTTATTCACTCAAGAAATATCTTCTGATTACCTAGTGTGTGCCTGGGACTGTGCTAGGCACTGGGGACACAGAGGTGAGCAAAAGAGACACGATCCATGCCTTCTGGGGATGACTCCAGAAAGGGAGAAAGTAGTTGAACTAATCAGAAATATATGTGTAACTAACTACCAATCATTTTAAGGGCTTTTAAGGAAACAAAGAAAATGGTGTGACCTGAGGTTGTAACAGGAGATCTGATGTAAATGGGGAGGGGTTGGTCAAGGTTACCCAAATATAGAACAGAGACCCTTGTCTAGGAGAGAGAGAGTTGAGAATTTTGGCTCCAGGAGCTCTTTGTGGTAATGTAAAAGGTTGTCTTTGTTCCCAGTATTCAGACGTCCTTTCCTCATCCTGGCTCTCAGTGCTCACTCCTGGCAGATGTATGGGTTATTGTTCAAGTCATTTCTCACGGAAGATCGTAAGCCAAGACGGTTTGAAGGACAGACGGATGGTTGAGCTCCGGTTCACCTCAAGCTGTGAAGAGGAATTGTCTAGGACTATTGACAGTGTTATTCCGTACTAAAGGGCCCGTTCCTTGGAAGATTTTTGCTTTTGTTTTTGTTGTTCTGGTGTCTTTGTGCCAAAGGACAAGATCACATCCTGTGTATGGGGCGAGGTCCCCCCCTTGAATATAAGAAACAGTCATTCTGGAATATGTGAATACTGAGGCAGGGCTGGACTCAAGGGCATTTCCACTGCAGTCAGGTCAGCTGGTCCCTGCAGTGTGGGGATGGGCCTAGGGGTAGGCAGAGAAGTGACCGAGAGAAGACCCCTCTGCAGACCCCAAGAGCAGGGGTACTTCATTTTTAAGTTCTCCCTTGTGTAATACCCTTCTATTATTACAAAGCCTTTGGCAAATCCGAACAAACTTTATTTCATGATCTTGGCTATCACTGCAGGGAACTGGAGATAGGGCCTATGTCCAAGTTGGGCAAAATGGCACAGGGGAGAGCAGCGGCAGTCTGTCTTGAGACAAATGAGGGTAACTTCAGAAAGGGAAAGTAATAATTTGGATCCCTATGGCAGATTTTGATGAGAAGAAACTACCAGAAATAGTCTGGGGAGCATGTAAACACTTGTTAAGGGTTTCCCAGAAGTATCTGGAAACAGGACCTGTTAATAGACGATACTTCTGCAATTAAAAGAGATGGAGTTGAGACTACAGTGATTTAGGCATACAGGGTGTGGAGAGTTTGGACATCTGGATTACAGATCTTATTCTCTCTAGTCCTCACAACCACCCTGCAAGGTGACTATCATTTTGGAGAGTGAGGCTCAGGAAATGCCTAACCCGAGCCTGCAGGACAGGCAAAAGGCAGCGCGGGGCTAAGTCGGTTATTCTGGTATGCCACACTGCCTCTCTCAATAAAATTTATCTGTGGGCTTCCTTTCAAGACCCTCAAGAACAGAAGATGGTGTCATTTTCTTCCATTCCACAGCCAGACCGGGAGAACCCGAGGGATAGAGTGGGAGACGGCAACTGCACAGAGAAAAGAGGGAAAAACTTTTCTCTTAACAGAAACTGAGGCTTCTTGCTTTTTCCTTTAACTTCCCACTTCCTCATCTACAAATGAATCAACACCTACACCCATTCTCATCTCTTTTCTTCCCCTCAGATAAAGTTCTCTTTTCCCATTTAAGCCACTCTTCTACCTAAGCCCCGGGCTTCCTTCTCCCTCTCCTCTCAGACCCTGTTCCATCTGCCGCTCTCTTTCTTGTACTTTCCATCCCGTCCCTGCTGGTTCCTACCCCTGTGCCCATAAATACGTTCTAATCTCTCCCACCTTAATCCACTACTTTAAACTCAAATCTCCTTCTAACTATGGACTGATTGACTTTTTCCTATTGTTATCCACACTTCTCAGAAAACAAAGATTTATAGTTATTCCCTCTACTTCCTTACATCCCAATAATTTCTCAGTTCATTCTCAACTCAACTAGCTTATGCCTCCATTTATGTTACCCTAACATCTTAATGAATACTTAAAAAAAACCTTTTTAAACTAGTTTCATATACACACAGTAAAGTGCATATAAGTGTACCGTGCAAAGAATGATCACATAGGGAACACACCTATGTAACTGCCACCAGGTTAAGAAACAGGATGTCACTAGCACCCCAGAAGCCCTACGGTATTCTCCCAGTCATTACTCCCTCCTTCCTCCCTAGATGTAACATCATCCTGGCTTCTTATTTGATATATTACTTTTGCCTGTTTTTAACTTTACATAAATGGAAGCTTACATTATGTGCTCTTTTGTGTCTGGCTCTTTTGCTTGACCTTATGCTTGTGTGAGGTAGCTATGCTATTGCATGCAGCAGTGGTTCATTCATTTTTACCCCTGTATAGTACTCCATTGTAAGACTATGCTGCAATTCATCCATTTCATGGTTCATGGACATTTGAGGTTATTTCTACTAAGATTTCCATGAATATTCTTGAGCATGTCTTTTTGTGTACATATGCATATATTTCTTCATCTGTTTTTAAAGGAAGGGAGTAGTTTTGTTGGAACCACCATAAAATAGATTGGGAAAATTAAGGCACAATCATATTCAACCAATTGGACAAGTTTATCATGAATGACCACTACACTTACGCAGAGATGCATAAAACACCGATGCAGCCAAGAGAAGGGACTTGAGGAAGAGATGTGTCCTTGCGTATGGGAACACACAGAGAATAGGGAACAGAAACAGACGGTGTAATTAAGTACAAAATTGCATAGGCCCAGAGTAGAGACAACATTTAGAACCTCCGGGCTAAGACCAGACAGTTTAATACCAGGGTTGGATTCCTCACCCCTGCTCATCCATAGTCTGTGACAGGAGAGTCACCTGGAGGCCATGCATGGGAGAGAGAAGGGGCTGTAAATCTGGGGGTCAATTCCATAGATCCCAGACATATTTCTGCCACAGTGTCTTCTTCCCTCTGCGTCTCACACCTGAAACTGAGGCTAAAACCTCTGTGAATGGAGAAACTTCAGATGGACTCTGCACTCCGTCCACCCTTCTCACCCTACAGGTACAGGTTCTGGGAGGGCGAGGGAAGCCAGGGCAGATGCCCCAGAGCAAATGGGGTTTAGCAGATGCAAATTTTCATGCCCGACAGCTGAAGCCTGAGGTCTGGGTGTGTTTGGAAGCCAATGAAGGTAAGAAGGGTGGAGGACGAGCTGAAAGGCTGTGTTAGGATTGGGGATTAGAAGAAGGGAAGTGTGGATAGCTGCGACCATCATCAGTGCCATTATCATCATCATCATCATCCCTGAGATTTGTAGCACGTAAGACTTTACAAAGAGCTTTCTATTCCTTCACTTTCACATCTCTGTGGGGTGGCAGGGCAGGAATTACCCCAGTTTTGCTGACCCCCCAAGAACATGTTATATGGAAGGCAGGGTTAGGACACTAAGCCACATCTCTAGTCCCTCCTCAGGAGCCTATGAGGGCTCCCGTCGGTTCGCTAGGAAAGTGAAGTAGGGACAAGAGCAACGCAGGGACACGTGTCCCCCGGGTGGAAGGTCAAATGTGACAAGAGATCTAGAAATGGCCAGAGGCTAAAGCAGTTGCAGGGAGAGAGATGGAGGGGTTGGAAAGGTGCGACAACTCTGAAAACTCCAGCCGCTTCTGGGCTGAGTCCGGAGCCACCTGGAAGGTGCACCGATGCCCACAGGGCACTCTCGGTCCTTGCCGAAGGTAGGGGGTGACTTCGACCCCGCGCGCTCGGGGACTGCGGGGTTCGGAAAGTCTAGCTTCCCGGGGCGCCCCACAGAGGGTGGGAACGAGGCGGCGCCGCCTCCACCCGGACGCGCGTCGAGCGCCCTCTGTCACCCCACGCCGCCCTGCCCGGGCCGAGGGAAGAGCGGGCCCGCCCAGGTGCGCCGGGGGTTGGGCCGCAGTCCGGAAGGTGCGCCGCCGGCCCCGCCCCAGGCCTGTCCCCCCGACCTCCCCCCGCGTGAAAGTGAAAGTGTCGGGGCTCGCGGAGGTCGCGCACGGGGGGGCGGGGCCGGCGCGGACCCGGGAGCGGGCGCCGGGCACTCAGGGGCCATGGATGGGCTCGGCCGCCGCCTCCGAGCCAGCCTGAGACTGAAGCGCGGCCATGGGGGTTAGTGCCGGGCTGGGGCGCGCCGGAGCCTGGGCGCGGGCAGCGCGGGGACCGGGACAGGACAGGAGGCTGCCCGCGCGGGGGCCAGGGGAGGGCGCGGAGGGTCGGGAGCTGGGGGCACTGCGAGGGGCCTTGAGGAGGGCTGGGCAGGGGTCAGGGAGCTGGAGAGAGGGCGCAGGTAGAGATGGAAAGGGGCAGGTGGGTACTGGGTCGGAGGTCGGAGGAGTGTCCAGGCAGCGTGGGTGGGGGGAGGCGGCCGGCCAGAGGAAACCGTTGTGGGGCCCCGGGGCCACGTGTCCTTCCAGCAGGAAGCTTGCGGCGCAACCGCAGGGTGCCTGAAGCGCCCGTGCCGCAGAGCCCTCCTGGGAGACCCCGCCTCGGACCCGCGGCCGCCCCGCCCCGGAGCCCAGCCAGGCGGGACGCAGGCGCGCGCCCCTGCCCCGCAGGCCGCCACGGGCTACAGCAGCTCGTCTCCCCTACGACGTTACCACCCCTACCCGCGGGCGGCGAGGAGCCCTGGAGAGCGTGGCGCGAGCGGGACTTGGGCTAGAACGTGCTCAGCTGCTTCCTTAGTTTGTGAACCAGACAGGTCACGCCTCCCATATCCCCCGACTGCCTGTCAGTGAAGTGAGAATAATTGCCCCTCTAGGGTTGTGGGGAGTAAGTTAGAAATCGATATTCATTTCTGTTCTTCTTAGCAGGGGTGCTGGGCGTTGGAAGAAAGGCAATTCGGAATTCAGTCATTTTTCCATTCATTCAACAAACATTTGTTGTTGCTTACCACTAGCCCGTGGGTCCTATGGCTGAGCAGCCGTAACCCTTGGATACTTTGCCCAGAGGTTTCACCTTCTGAGGAGAAAAGAGCCAATTGAAAAATAAGCAAGCGTCATTCCCAGACATCCCACCCCTTCTAACACTGGCAAGTCAAGAGGTGGAGCGAGACCCCCTCCTGCTCCAAGCCCCAGAGCTAGGGAGACCTGGGGGTGTGATCCGTGCTCCTTCTGCCGTCACCCCTGCCCCCCTTGCTGTTCTCCCTAAACACAGGTTTCCAGTATCTGGTCGTTCCACCCACTTCAAGGCAGAGAGGTCAGAGACCATGAGTTGGCGCAGAGGCCTGGGATGGCACAGTGGCCGGCGCAGAATGCAGGGTGGCGCTGGGGTCCTCTCTTCTCTGGAGAGCACTGGCCTGGTCTTTCCTGGTCTCCCTCAACCCTCAGAAGGCTGTGTGAATGGAAGGGGTCTGCTCCCTGCAGCCCAGAGGAGACAGGCCAATTGTTCCCACCCACCTGGGCCCCCAAACAGGCCTGATGATTGTGTCTGGAGCAGCTTCCTGGACACTGAGGAACTGTGACATGAGCAGCTGTATTTCTTGTCCTGAGGTCTGGCACCTGTCTGTCCAGGAGAGTGTGCCCTTTTCATCTTCTATACCATCCTCCACCTTCCTGGGGAGTTCCCCTCCTTTTGCCCTTTTGGCCCCAGGGTAATCGTGTGGTAGGAGGGTGTGTGTGTGTGTGTGTGTGTGTGTGTGTGTGTGTGCGCATGTGCAGATGATCCTGGTGGGGGGAGTGGCAGTGGTGATGGTTCTGGGTTGAGAGCTGCTGAGCCAGAAGAAGAAGGGCCAGCTTTCCAGATGGAGGTTCCAGAATGTCCTCTTACCTATTCTAGCTGGTTCTGGGGCTTTCTTCAGGTGGCTGTGGGAGTGGCTTCCGGGTGGAGGAACAAGTGTAACCAGACTCCTGACTTCCCTAGAAAGGGTGGCTCCCTCCTCAACTGAAAACTCAGGATAATAATTCCTTTCTAGGGCACTGGAGATTGAATGAGATGAGCTATATTAAACGTGTATTTGATGGATGTTTTCTCTTCTGCTTTCCTCTTCTGTTGAAAGGGAGGAGAAAGGAATCTTTTTCTGGATTTCTGGAGCCTCAGCCCAAAAGTCTATTAACTTTTTTTTGTTTGAGTTTGTGAGTTTTGTTGTTCTCTTGGCTCTCATGATAAACCAGGAGGAAAGGGGCTCAAAATGCAACCCAAAGGATTTAGGGAAAGGAATAATTTCCTGAGGTTCTGGAATGATCAGAGAAAAGATTGTGGTTCTCAAAGCCCTCAACAGGAGGCACCCCACATTTGTAGGATGTGTGGTGTGTACTACATCCAGAAGGCAGAGCATGCACATGGAACTCATAATTCTCACCCCCAACACATACTGTGAATAGTCCCAGACTAGTCCCTGAATCACCCCGTGCCTCAGTTTCTCTATCTGTATCAGCTTGTTCCTCAGACAGGTGTTGAAGATTGAGCAACAAGTGTACGCGGGTTGTGAATAAGGCGTGGTGATGGTTCACAGTGTTCTGGGTCACTGTTCTCACCATTAAATCCTTATTTACTGTGACTGGGTTTCCCCCTGGGAGTCACGGCTGGGCCATTGATTACTGGCTTTTACTAGGCCCACAAGAGTCAAGTCTGGAGCTCTTAAGAACAAGGCACCCCTATTCCAGCACTGCACTTTCTTCCCAAGGGCTCTAATTCTTGCAGGGATGGCAGACACTGGCACCAAACCCTTTTACTTCCTGGCTCCTCTTAGAGGCAGCTTCCTGGCAGAAGTCCTTCTCTCTTACCCCATGCGTTCACTTATTTAAGGGTTTCTCTGAGAATCCTAGGTGACTTATTGCTATTCTTTCTCTCTTCCCCAGCCTCCAGACACAGCCTCTAGATACCACTAGAGCCCCAGGGGCCAGCTGCTCTGCTTTTAGCTTGGGCAGAACTGTTGACCTGGCCCAACAGGGAAAGAAGACTGAGCAGTAGTCGGGGTGGGGTGGAGATCACCCGGCTGTTTTCCACTGTGCTGAGCGACCCTTAGGCTCCTGATGCAGCCAGTCCCTTAACCAGCCCAGGGAGAATGTCCTGAGTCAGTGCTTCCTATTGAGAAGAGGGATTCTTTGCTGGAGGCTCAGAATAGGGCTCAGTGAGAGAAGTCTGTCTTAGGACATTTACAGGGGGTGAGGGATGCACCCTTGTAGATCATCCTGAAGTATCAGGAGCTCTCCAGCTCAGAGATCGACGTTCTTCCTATTTCATCACCAGGAGAGGAGGCTTGTAGATTTGTACTCATTTCCAGGACTCCCTCTTGCGAGGACAGTTTCTCCATTTAGATAATTAGTGGGCCAAGTCTCTTGATCTTAACCAAGGGGGGCGATGGCCTCCTGGCTGTGGGGACTGTTTGGTCCTGTGCTCTTGCTTGCAGCCCTGAAGTCCTGGAAGTTCTGGAGCGTGGCAGGTGGCCTTGCACGAGTTTTCCATTACTTTGACCAAGTTGAGAGGTGAAAGGCCAGGAATCAAAGTTATGGAGATATAAAATCTCTGTCCTGGGGCTGGTGAGGTTCCAGTGCCCACAGTCTGGTGCTATCTGGCATTTTTCACTGTCCCAAGCTTGTAAATAAAACCATTGCACAATCTGCAACCCAGAATTCAGAGCTCTTAGCCCACAAGCAGCTGGGCCTTGGAGGTGTTTGCTCATGACCTTTTTAGTCTCACCACACCCTGGGGCTCCTGGGAGGAGCTAAGGTCTGAGCTGTAGTGCCAGGATGCTGTCTCTGTCAGTACGGGCGTTCTGCTGCCTTCCTGGGTCCCGTCACATCCTTCCTGCTCAGCCATTGGGTGCACAGGATGGAAACTGCTCTCCCCTATCTGGAAGACGGCGCGTGGTGTGGTTTCATAGAGCCGTGGTTGGAGACTGAAGCAGCAGCCCCTTTCTCAGGCTTTCTGTAGCTAGTCTGTGTTGGAGGAAAGAGAAGCACTCCATGCCCTGCAGGTCCGAGAAGATGGAAGGACAAGTAGTAGGCGGGATGTTCAGGCTCTTCCGCAACCGCCTTCCTCGACTCCGCGCAGGTCTGGACTGGATTGCCCACTTCCTTTGTTCCAGGGTAACCCTTGTCGATGGGGCTGTTTCTTCCCTTAAATGCTTCTTCCTCCTCTTCCTTTTATATCTTGACCTCTACCCAGTCTCCCATGTGACTGGGCCGGGAGGTTTCCCCTGTTGGTTTGGGAGCTGGTCATGCCCTTCTTGGGGGTTGGTGTGGTCACAGCCACGTGTCATTGGGCCTTTTCTGATTTAGCAAGTACAAGTCTGATCAAGGCGCACAGTTCCAGGCATTGCCATGGGCCCCCACTGTAGGCAGAGTCTTTGTGCTGCTCTGGGGCAGAGGGCGACCCAGGTGGCCTCCCCAGTACATTTCCTTGGGTTCCAAATCAGTGGTTTCTTTCCTCCTCTTGGCTCCTTGTTGTTTCGAGTCTCCCAGGGCAGGCATGGAAACTGCCCAGTTGGCTCTGGTCCTGTTCCAGGACCTGAGGAGCTGGGCAGGCTCCAGGGACCTCAGCGTTGGCATGGCGGCCTTCGGGTGTGGAAGTTCCTTGGAGCCTCACAGACTCTACTTGAGGCATGCATCAATGAGATACCAAAAGGGCCCTGGTGTCTTGGTTTCAGGACCTCCCCAGGACAATCAGGGGGAAGCTGTAAAGGAGCCGGAAAGAGCCCAGGAGCTCTGTCTACCTAACTTTGCTGGAGGGCAGCACTTCTTTGAATACCTCCTTGTGGTTTCCCTCAAAAAAAAGCGTTCAGGGGATGATTATGAGCCCACGATCACCTACCAGTTTCCCAAGGTAAGGACTGAGGAGGGGGCAGGGGGAGACAGAGGATTGGGCTGCTTGAGAGGTATAGGCGGGTGCTCTCTCCCTCTCCCCACCCTGCTGGGCTTGAATCTGGGGCTGCCCTGAGCTGGCCGCTCCTGTCTCCTTCAGGCCCAGCCCTATTTTCTGTTATCACTCACAGAATCTAGGCCTGGCTTCTTTGTGAGGAACTGATCTAGGCTCCCTGGCCAGGAAACTAGGCTAGTTCTTTTGCCCCTTTGGGGACCCCGAGTTCTTCCAAATTCCATCCTCAGTCACCCTTCTCTGTAGAGAAGCTTACCTCCTGCCAGAGCTCCTTGCAGGAATCCCCTCCCTGGGATAGATGGGAAGGAGGGTGGGCAGGCACGTAGCTGGTGGGCAGGCGCAGCCTGTGGCCACGGCTCAAGTGTCAGGCTCCTTCTTGTCTGGTCCAGCACTGGGTGAAGGGGCAGGGATATGACATCCTTCTCATTAACCCTGATGGCGTGGCAACTGAGCTGGCTGCTTCTTGTCTCTCATGTGGTATCTCTCTAATGTGGTCCTCCCAGGAAGCCAGCCGGTCTCTGGGCCTGTCTGGGCCGTGGCCCTGGCCCCCTTCCTGACTATGTAGATCTTCAGGATACTGAAGTCCAACTCAGGGTCCTGTAGACTTGGCCCAGGAGGGGCTGTTTCAGCCTTGGGGTCGTTCCAGCCAGACCCAGAATAATGTCCCCGTGCAGTGACAGGCAGAGGCACGCTTTGAGCCCCCATCAGTGGAAAAGCTTATTCTCAGACTGCTTTAGAGGCTCAAAAGAAGCCCACCAGGCCTCCAGCCCTCCTCCTGCCCCTCCCTCCACCATCCACTTGTCTCTTTTCCTGTTCCTTATAGCGGGAGAACCTGCTTCGGGGCCAACAGGAGGAGGAGGAGCGGCTGCTCGGAGCCATCCCCTTGTTTTGCTTCCCAGATGGGAATGAGTGGGCACCACTCACTGAGTATCCCAGGTAATTGCTTGGTCCTGGGACGGGGGAATCTGGGATTGGGGGAGAAGGGACAAGTGTGAGCCATGTGGTTCTTGTGGCCCCTCCCTTTGTGTGTAGGCCGACTTCTTGCCAGCTTCCCTCCCGCTGGGAGGGACTGGAGCGGGTTCATTCATAAACTTCTTGCCTGAGGTCCCTTAAGGCCAAAGATCTTAGTTAACCTGGTTGACCAGTCACCTCTTTCCAGAGACAGGTGAGGTTCTCTTACCTGCCCTAGGACTGAGGGTCACTGTGTTTTGACTCTGCTACTGGCAGAAGCTGGACTTAAAAGAAGGTGTTTGGCCTCGAAGAAGGCCACATAGCAAAGTCCTTTACAGCATGAGCCCTGGAATTCGACTGCCTGAGTTTGAATTTTGGCTTTACTGCTATGTGTTGAATGACCTTGGATAAAAACCTCCTCTCGGAGCCTCAGTTCCTTCATCTTTAAAGTGGGGATAATAATTGAACCCACCTCAGAAGTTGTTGTGAGAATTAAATGAGATGATGCATTTAGAGCGTGACATTAATAAGCTCTTAACAAGTTACTGGCGTTATTCTTACTCTCCTTATTAATCAGCAGCTCCCCTTTGCCCACTTCACCCCACTCAGCACCCTCTGATGCTGACCACCTTCCTGTCTTAGAATCTTGTGAGCAGGGACTGGCCCAGTGGCGCAGTGGTTAAGTTCACATGCTCCCCTTCAGTGGCCCAGGGTTCACCAGTTTGGATCTCGGGTGAGGACCTAGGTACTGCTTGTCAAGCCATGCTGTGGCAGGCATCCTACATATAAAGTAGAGGAAGATGGGCACAGATGTTAGCTCAGGGCCAGTCTTCCTCAGTGAAAGGAGGAGGCTTGGTGGTGATGATAGCTCAGGGCTAATCTTCCTGAAAAAAAAAAAAATAGAATCTCGTGAGCAATGCAAACCGGGTCTTGTCTGCTCTTCCCCAGGGAGACCTTCTCCTTCGTCCTGACCAATGTGGATGGGAGCAGGAAGATTGGATACTGCAGGCGCCTCTTGGTCTGTGCAGCCCAGAACTGCCCCCTCCTCTCTGCAGCCTGCTCGGCTCCACAGCTGGGCTGGCTCAAGCCTCAGCTGCAAAAGCCAAGGCTCGCTGGCAGTGGTGCTTGTAGAGAGAGCAAAGCCCAGCACCTGCTGCCATGGTAGTGCCCTCTGCAACCCCACGAGAACAGAGACACATGCCCCCCCTCGCCCACCCGGGGGACCTTTGCTGACCAGGCTTCAGCTGTTGCTCTCCCCAGCTTTCAACAGCTCCCGTCTGTGGGAGGCTCCAGCCTAAGCTGCTCTCCACCTTCTCCCTCCCGGCCTCGTTGCTGTGGCCGGTGGAGCCTCGCAGAACATACACTAGGATTTGGACAACTAGGTTCATTTCTTGGGTCTCTCTGAGTCACTTTTCCAGGGCTCTCCTCTCTAGCCACTTCCTCATCTCTACAGCACTCTTGCTTCCTGTCTTTGCTAACCCCAGATGGCATTGGTGCTGATGGCGGCAGTGCTTGCCAGTGAACCCACCCAACCCCTCAAGGCCAACTTCTGACTTTGGTGGCCCCTCTGGCCTCCCTGCTGCTTATCCCGTGAATGGGACCCCAGCGCATCCAGGCCTTCCTCCATCTGGCCCACCATTTACCATGAATCCCCCAGCCGCAGCCCCCAGCCTCGTGCCCCATCAGCCCCAGTCGGGTGAGGCCCCAGGGATGCTGCAGCACTGAAGGAAACTCTCTGTCTTCCCCCAGCCCGCCGGCCGCGGCCCTCGCCTCCCCAAGGTGTACTGCATCATCAGCTGCATTGGCTGCTTCGGCTTGTTCTCCAAGGTAGGGGGGTGGGACGGGATTCCTCAGGGGCCTGTTTGGCCTGTTCAGCTTCCAGGTCTGCCTGCCCTGCCTGTGCTCTCTGAGCCCTGAGTGGAGCTTCTACCTCAAAGCTGGGGGCAGCAGAGGCACACTGGTGATACTGAGGCAGAGAGGGGCTTGGACTCCACTTGATTTTAGGGAAAAGTGGGAACTGAACCTAGGGGACTGTCTTCCCTGCTGGGAGACCCACTGCTCCCACTCTAGTCAGGTGAGAAAGCAATTGGAGTAGGACAGTGGGAAGAGCCCAGGTTAAGAATTGGGAGTTTCAGGAAACTTTTGCCCTGAGGTTCATTTTCCTCCTCTGTCAAATGCATATAATGATCCCTCACCTTCCTACCTTACAGGCAGGTGTGAGGCTTGGATGAGGTGATATATGAGAAAGGGAGAGCACTAAACAGATATGGAGACAATGATTATACAGTGGGGGTCCTGAGACTCCCTCCGACTCCTTCCAGGTTGGAAGAGAAGTTGAGGCCCCCGGGACTCTCTTGCTGGAGCTAATCTGAGACCCAGTACTCCTGAGTCAGGAGCAGAGCAGAGTCCCTCAGAAGGGATGGGGTGTGTCTTAGTGGCCACAAAAGGGCTTCAGTGTGCTCTGCCCCCAGCAGGCCCCTTGGAGGTTGAAGGGAGGAAAGTCCGTCAGCCTTTGCTTGGGAAGAGCGTTTATCTGTGCAGGGCTCTGAAGGACGGAGGCAGTCCTGGCCTTGGGGAGTCTCCAGGGGAAGTTGGAGGGCCGAGTGGTGCCCAAGAGGCCCAGCCTTCTAGGCTCCCCCTCCCACCAGCAATAAAGAACATGGTACCATCATGGATGATGAGTTTACTCTGGGATGTCTTCCTGGGGAAGGTGCTTTATGTTGATGTTAGGAGAAGGGAGGAATATGGGTTGATAGAGAGAGGATGAAAAGAAGAAGGCTAGGAAAAAGCAGGTCTTGTGCAGGACATAAATAGCAGACTGGTCTCTCACAGTTGAGAGAGAGAACCAGGTGTCGGAGAGGCCCGAAGGTACATGACGATTGGCTGCACCAGTGAGGGAGCCTCACACGTGGGGTCTCTGCCACCCTCCTGGTAGCATCCCTTTGAGCCACGCCTCCCGTGGTCCTTTTCTGTGCAGATCCTGGATGAAGTGGAGAAGAGGCATCAGATCTCCATGGCAGTCATCTACCCGTTCATGCAGGGCCTGCGAGAGGCGGCCTTCCCTGCTCCTGGGAAGACTGTCACCCTCAAGAGCTTCATCCCTGACTCGGGCACTGAGGTGGGTCAGCAAAACGGGCTGGAGGGGCAGGCTTCTGTGGCACTTCTCATCACAGTCCTTCATTCACCAGGTTAATATACAGAGAACGGAGCCAGGCAGGGACTGGGACTTGACTAGAATTCTTGGCAGAGCTGAAAATCAAACCCAGATCTTCTGATCCTCCCAACCTGATACTTACAAGGATGTACTTGAACTCACTGTTCAAGCTACCCAGACTTTTATTTATAATAAATAAACCATGTAAGGTGAGGTTCCTGGTGCTAGGATGGACTTCGTCCCCAGCCCCCAAACTACCACTTTTTCCCATTACCACCTTTATCTTCCTGTGTCTGTCTGTTATCTCTACCTGGGTGCCATCTGTCTATTTCTTATCACCTGTCCCCACCCTTGAGTCCCCACCCATGCCACACGGGGATGCCATTGTTTTAAGGCACTAAGCAGACTGAGGCAGCAAACAGAACATTGTTTTCAGAATTCCAGTCCTGATCCCTGGTCCTCTGGATCATCTGTGTGTCCCTCTGAACCTTGGCTTCCCCCTGCAAAAATAAAGGGAGGGGCTGGGCTTTTTCACTTATTCAAAGAATAAGTATGCAATGCTTGCCGTGTGCCAAGCTAAACTATTTTCTGGATATAAAGTAGTGAATAAAATGAACATGGTTCTTGATCTCATGGAGCTAAAAGTCTAGTGGGGGACGTTGAGTGAGAAAGCACAAATAAATATATAATTAAAAATCATGTGATTGTGATGAAAGGAAAAAAACAGGATACTACATAAGAAAATGATGGGAAATACATGTTGCACTAGGTGTGTGGCCCGGGAAGTCCTCTGAGACAAAAAGGAGGATGAGAGTGAAGGGAGAAGAGCCATCCAGGGGAGGGCCTAACCTCTGAAGGACCTCAGGAGGGAAGAGCGATGTACTCAAGGAACAGAAAGGACTGCTGTGGCGGCATGATGAGGGGTTGGGGTGCGCCCAGTGTGGGCCCTGCCAGGGATTACATCAGTGCTATCCTCAGAGCCGAGGGAAACCATGGATGGGTTTTTAGCAGGGGAGAGACAGGATCGGATTTACTCCTGTTGGGAGAATGGAGTGGAGGCTGGTCAAGACCCAGCATTTTGGGATCTGTGTGATTTTTCAGTGTGGTGACTCTCTGGTTTCCCCACAGTTCATCTCACTGACGCGGCCTCTGGACTCCCACCTAGAACACGTGGATTTTAGTTCTCTGTTGCAGTGTCTCCGTTTCGAGCAGATTCTGCAGATCTTTGCCTCTGCAGTGCTGGAGAGAAAAATCATCTTCCTGGCAGAAGGTCTCAGGTGGGTCCAGACACTGAGTGGCTCACCTAAACTGACTGGCATCCCTGGGTTCAAGGGAACATGCTGGAGGGCCCTCAGAGGAAATCAGGCTGTGGGACCCGTGTGCTCACCTGCTGCGTCGAGGTCTTGATCTGCGCCGTCTAGAGAAATAGCTGTTGCAATTCCCCTGCTTCTGCCTCCAAACTTGACTGCTGCCTAAGCCTGAAGAAGGTTCCCAATTTAGTTCTGAGTAAGGGCATGAAGCGTTCCTGGGCCAGCCCAGGCACAGACTAATTAGGGTGGATGCAGATATGATTCTGCTCTTGAAAGGCTGAGGGAGGGACCGGCATGAGGACAGGGCAGGAAGGCATATAATGGTATGAAGGTCAAGCCCATCTTCTGTAACAGCAAACGCATCTCATCTATCCATTTGCTCACTCATTCAGCAAACATGTATTGTGTATCAACTGTTTGCCAGATGCCAACCATTAAGAAGATATGGACAAATAAGACATGGTTCCTTGACCTTAAAGGGATGTAGAATTATGTAGTGGTTGAAAGCATAGGTGCTGAAATCAGCAGAACAAGGTTCGAGTCCTGTTCTTCCACCTTTAGCTACATGGTTCCTCTTAGGTTAGTTTCTTAACTTTTGATGTCATGATTTTCTTATCTGTAAAATGGAGATTATGATTGTACCTACCTCATAAGGTTGTGATGAGGATTAAATTAAATAATGCACCTTAGGTACCTAGTGTCCTGCAGGCACACGTTGGTAAGTGCTGGCTATTATTCTTAATAATAAGTTCACAGTTGAATATATCCGTGTGTATAGTGGAAGCAGGGTACTGTCATGTCCTGGTCTCTATCTCTTAGAGGCTTCAAGTCTGAGAAAGACATGGGGAGACATGTGACAGAATGGTGAAGGAAAAAAAATATAAAGCAGTCAGAGGTTGGCCTTCTGTTCATGTCTGGGGAGGGAGAAAGCTGATGATATTGGGCTGACAATCCTGGTTCTATCTTTTAGGGAAGAGAGGAAGAAACGGGATGTTAGGGACCCAAACGTGAGGCCAGAGGGTCAGGTGAATGTTATGGGTTTCAGAGAAAAGGAAGCTTGGGCAGGCGACGGGGTCTGTGGGTTGGAAATTCTATAAAAATCAGTGATAACCAAAATGGCACTAGTTCTAGGCTAATCCTTGAGGGAAGTGGTCTAATCTTTTCCTTTGAAAATAGCTCTCCCACTCTCAGCCCTGTAGGGAAGTGAGAGTCTCTGTTGTGGCTGGAGCTGGATTCTGGCCTTTCCCCCTAAGATGAGTGTTTAGGGAGTGGAGGTGACTCCAGGCGTCAGCTGGCCTGGACATGGGCAAAGGCTGGCAGGACTTACGTCTCAGGTGTTAACTTTCTCCAGGGCAATCCCACCACCCGCCATTTCCTTCCCATCCTTCCCACGCGGTGTTGTCAGATCTCTGAAGCACAGGCAGGGAGGGGACTTCCAGTCAACCTAAGCCTTGGCCAGACTCGCAGAGACACTCCTTCTAACTCAGGAAGTGCTAGCTTGATACTAAGAATTGAAACAAAGTTTCCGCATCTCTGTTTTTATTGGCCTTGGTTTGGGGGCAATTTAGAGAAATGGAGAGCCGAGAAAGGTAGTGGAGAATAGAGAAATCAGAGCGCGGGGTTGGGTTGTGTGTGTGTGTGTCCGTCAGGAGATGAGGAGTGGGGCCTGAGCTGTGACTTAGGCAGTAATCACACAGGGAATACTTCACTGGAAAGGGTAGGGGAGCCACCTCTGGGGGACTTTCCGGGTAGGAATTGCTGAGCAGAGGTTCCTGGAAGCTAGGAATTTCCCAGGCTAACTGAAGCACCAACCTGGTAACTTTAAATAACCTCAAGTGGCCAGAGGGAGCTGTGAGCGGTAAAGACGGGGGATGAGGGTGGACAGACATGAGGAAATAGGGCTTCGCCCCTCTGCTGTGCCCAGTGTTTACATGTTTATCTCCTTAGCGACACTGTGAGTTCCTTAAAAGCAGAGTGTCTTCTGTTTCCTTCTCTCCATGTCCTCAGCACAGTGGTGACATGCAGCAGGGGCTCAATCAATGATCTGTTTGAGTGAAGGCGTTTCTTCTTCCCTCCTCTCTTGAGAGACAACTTTTATTTTTGGCCAGTAGTGACTTGAGAAGACTAAGTGGGAAAAGAAGGATCAAACAGAGGCCCCATCCTTGATGAGAGGAGCCTCAGCTTCCCCTGGTTTCTGGCCCTGCCCTCCCAGCTCCGAGCAGTCACAAGCTCTGTGACCCTCCTGGCTCTCACACTTGCCTTTGCGTTGGTGCAGGCAGCTCTGGAAGCAGCTGCTGTCGGTGGTGGGCTGTGTGGGGGTGCACAAGGGTTGGGGCGCAGGGAGGCCCCTCTCACTCTCGTTCTGTGTGCCCTGTCCCCAGCACCCTGTCTCAGTGCATCCATGCTGCGGCCGCACTGCTCTACCCCTTCAGCTGGGCACACACCTACATTCCTGTTGTCCCTGAGAGCCTTCTGGCCACCGTGTGCTGCCCCACTCCCTTCATGGTTGGAGTACAGATGCGTTTTCGGCAGGAGGTTATGGACAGCCCCATGGAAGAGGTATGATGCCACAAGAAGAGGGCGGGATTGGGAGCCAGGAAGACAGGCATTTGGATCTCAGCTCTGCCACTAATAACTGTGTGATTTGGGGCAAGTTGCTTAATTAATGTCTTTAAGCCTGACCTTCCTCATCTGTAAAATGGGGATGACAGTGTCTGGTTCCTAGGGATTCTAGGGGAAATAACCTGCATAAAGCTTCTAGCCTCGTGCCTGACACAGAGTTGATGCTCAGTGAGCGTCAGCTCCCTCCTCTTGAATGATTAATGAGTAGGCTCTGGGGTGTCCCATCTCTCATCTGAATGGATGAGCACAGCTGGTCTATATAATACACACTCCACTGGAATTAATTCACATTCCTTGGAAGTGAGCTAATGGAGACCTCCTGCAAACTAGGAGTTCTGAAAATGCAGATTTTTGTAGTAAGAGCCATCTTTCTGATTAGCTCAGAACTCAGTTGGCTAATGAAGATACAGGTCCAAATTCCCTTTGATTTTGTCAGCTTCTTATTTCTTGGCAGTGCCCCAGACACATCAGAGGGCTCAGTGGTGAAAATGGGCATTAATAGCAGAAATCTACCTCCAATGTTAGAAGAACAATTCAAAACATGTGTTCTGCTTTGAATGGTCAGTAGGAACTTTCAAAAGATAGCATGTTGCTATAATCTCAAGCCAGAACTTCTGCTTAGGCATGTCTGCACTGGCTAACCATTGACTCCCTCTGTGCAGACAAAGGGCCTACCACGGGGAGAGGCAAGGTCCAGAAGTAAGCTACTAAAGAGGCATAGAACCAGCCCTAATGGGAAGATTTCTCCAATTTAAATAAGAAATAACCGAGGTCCAGAGAACTCAATTGACTTATTTGAGGCCACACAGGCAATGATGGAACCTAGCACAGTTCTTACACAAGTGTTGCTGAGAAGTAAAGAAGCAGGCTGTTTCCCTTCCTCGCTTCCCGGGCCCTCCCAGCCCTCCTCAGAACTGCTGAGTACACACGCCCTTTGAACGAGCCTCTGCCTTGTGACTAACTGGGACAGAGTGTCAGCCCCGTGTTTAGCAATAAGACTTAAAATGTCCCAACCCCAGAAATTATGAAACTTCCTGATGCTGTAGCTTCAGCTTCTTGGAAGCTACAACCAGCTGGACTGCAGCTCCTGCTATCCCGGAGCCTTGGCCTGTTTGACTGCTCAGCAGCTGCTCTGTGAAATGGACAGGGATGAGGGACGGGGAGGCCAGGGCCAGGGTGGGTGTGGAGAAGGGATTCCTTGACTCCACACAAGCGCTCTGGAAGGGATTACTCAACGGACAGTAACATTCCCAAACACTAGAAAGATTTTTGGGAACAACTTCACATAAAAATTCTTCGCACATTCTTACCTCCCAACCTCCAAATGAACAGCCTCCCCTGAATGAAGGCATCTGAGCCTATGCATACAAGTGGTTTCAGGTCTGGACGAGCTCAACTTTTCTCCGCTGATGACGGATAATTACAGTGCCTGCGCTGTCTTTTGGCACGCTTTCCAGTCCCTCTCTTTCTGTTTGTTTGGAAGAAGGGAGCATGGAGGGATCATTCACCCTCTTATCAAGACCAAGGGTCCAAACTGAAAAGAAGGCCCAGCAGGCACTTAAATGACCGACGTGAGCTTTGGGGGAACATGGTGAACTGTTGAGCACATGCCTGCCTGAAGGGGTGGCTGCACTCAGTTCCATCTGAATGTTGTCCTTTAGAAACGTGGACCAGTGGTAGAGTTCCTTACTTTTCAGAAGCCCCAAATCCAAAGTTTATGTGAAATTTTCCAATTTAAAAACAGCCATGTGCCACTTAACAACGGGGATACGTTCTGAGAAATGCATCATTAGGCGATTTTGTTGTGCGAACATCATACAGTGTACTTAACACAAACCTAGATGGTATAGCCTACTATACGTCTAGGCTATATGGTGCTGATCTTACGGGATCACCGTTGTTGACCGAAATCACTATGCGGCGCATGACTGTATTGGAAACGAATTGAATTATTTAAAAATACTCTGAGGATCAAACAAACACATCTGCAGGCTGGAACCCAACCAGCAGAGGCCTATTTGTCACCTCTGGGCTAGACAGCAGGCCCTTCAGGCAGTGATGGGGCTGCTATAGAAGCAGGCCCCCTGGTTCCAGCCTGTGCTTGTCTGCAGCCTGTAGACACATGGTCTCCTCACTGCCTTTCCTTCCCTCTTCCTGCTGACCCTGGGCTCATTTCCTTCTCTTGTTGTTTCCTGTGGGAAGGAAGCTCTGAGGGGGGTTTTGAAATAGTTCTATTTTATTCTATCCAGGCAATTGTACATAAAGCTGTTGCAAGCATTAAAAGATCAAAAGATCTGCATCCCTGTCCTAAAGCTGACCAGAGGGCAGAGAGCTGCAGGAGCGCTGTCAGGAGAGCACTGCCATCCCAAAGACAGCACAGTCCAGGCTTGGAAGCCTCTATTTCTATTAGCAGTATGACTTCAGGCAACTTCACTCCTTTGAGTCTGTTTCCTCACCTGCACAACAGAGATAGCACTTGCCTCCAGGGCTATTGGGAGGATTAAATGAGATAAGATGTGCAGAGCAGTTACCGTGTGTGCCAGGTACTAAATGTTCCATTATAAAGCAATGGTGACGACCAATGTTTTATTAAGGAGTGACTGGCTATGATTTCCCCATATTGTATTTCCCTTCTCCCTTGGCTCTCTCCCTTCTCCCTCTCCCTACACCCTCATACCTTTTCATACCCAGGAAGGGAACTGCGATTTCCAGAGGGGAATAGTGAGAAAGGAGAGTGTCACACAGGAAATGAGAATTGAAGATGCTGATTTTTTTGCTATTTGGGCTGAAAGGTACCATCTCCACTAGTACCTCTGGAGATGGGAAGTCCTCCTGAGGTCTATGAGGAAAGGGGAAGAGATAAAGCTGTTCTGTGTTTCTTTCAGGTCCTGTTGGTGAACCTTTGTGAAGGAACCTTCTTAATGTCAGTAAGTGTCTGGGTTCAGGTGCCCTGCAGGCTCACCACCAACTCAATCACTCTAGTCTCATCCATGTTCCACTCATTTTAACAAACGAAGTACTTTTGTTGAATGAGAACCCATGCTAATAAGACCTCTCCTCTCTCAAGGAGTCACGACACACAAAGACACAGATGACTTTCAACAGAGCAGTTGGTGTTAGTGCCTTTAGAGCCAGGACATAAATCAAATGCCACAGGGGTAGAGCAGAGACTTGCTAATGTTTAGAGTCAAAGTGAAGACCAAGAAACACCCTCTGCCGTTTCTCTCCTGTGTGGCCAGTTCTTTGGGGGTGGTGGGGAGGGGTGGAATTCGTGCCCTCCTCATGCTCTCGACCAAAACTTCACACCTCTTCCCTGACTGCTGGAGTTCTGAGCTCACTCTGTCCTCTCCTAGGTTGGTGATGAAAAAGACATCCTACCACCCAAACTTCAGGAAGACATCTTAGACTCTCTTAGTCAGGGGAGCGACTTACACAGTAAGTCCTAGGCCCCTCTTATTTTGGGTTTCTCCAAAGAACTGGAGGGCATGATTCCCAACCATTAACTTCCAAACTAAAATGAACTCACTCAGCAGTCCTGGGCCAGTCCCAGAGGCCTGGATTCTTCAGCAAGTCTGAGTGTGAGATCTTATTCTTCCTAAGCAACGGTGGAAAACCCCTACCCAGTCTCCCATTGTAGTCAGTCCCTCAGTAATTATGAACCCCAGCCCAGCCCCTTCCCTGGGAGCTTTCAGCAAGCAATGAAAGCCACTTGGAGGGTAGTTTCATCCGGCTGCTGCCCTCTGAGATGGCCTCTATATGTCCCCTGCAGCTTCGGAACAAATCAACGAGCATGTTTCAGGCCCTTTTGTGCAGTTCTTTGTCAAGACTGTGGGCCACTATGCTTCCTATATCAAGCGGGAGGCAAATGGGCAAGGCCACTTCCAAGAACGGGCCTTCTGTAAGGCGCTGACCTCCAAGACCAACCGGCGATTCGTGAAGAAGTTCGTGAAGACACAGCTCTTTTCTCTTTTCATCCAGGAAGCTGAGAAGAGCAAGAACCCTCCCGCAGGTATACACTGGCAGCCCCCTGTCAATCTAAGCCTGGAGAGGGTCACCAAGTCAGCTGTGGCCCTAGGATGAAGAGGAAGGGAGGAAAGAGCCTTTCTCTCTAGGGGCCCACAAAACAGCTGTCACCTTATCAGTGTGTTTTGAAGGAAATAACCTGAAGCCTAAGAAAATGCTCCTGGGCTGACATTTTGTAGAAGTCTCTCTATTCATCAGCCAGCAGGAGGCTGTTTGCTGTTTTAGTCTGGAGCTAATTCCTATTAATGATTCCTTGTCTGTAGGCCTCTTTTTGGGCCAAATTGAATACCTGGATCTCCAGAGGCCCGTGAGGGCGAGAATCCCCAGCAGGAATGTGGGTGTGGCGGGGGAGCGCGGGAGCAGACAGAGGGGATATTTCTGATCCTCGCTCCACACTTGGCCTGGCCAGATTAGATGCCTCTGACACATCTATCTGAACCCACAGGTTATTTCCAACAGAAAATACTTGAATATGAGGAACAGAAGAAACAGAAGAAATCAAGGGAAAAGACTGTGAAATAAGAGCTGTGGTGGACAGGAGTGATTAGACCTACAGGCCAGCTTTGGACTTTGGCCCCTGCTGGCATGCTAGGCTCGGTGAAGCTCTCAGCCCCCAGAATCCACAGCCTCCTTCCGAGTCCTGGTAACTAGGTCTGGCTTCAAGCTGGTGTCTTGAGCATGGGATCCCTGGAATCAGCTTTCTCAGGACTTTGGAAGGCTCTGAGCTGTGCGCTCACAGAGCTGGGCTCAAAGCTGCATTTCCTGCAGAGGCAACAAAGAGCACGGAACAGTAGTCCAGGTGTCATAGAGACTTAGAAGTTGCTGTAACTGCCCTCTCCCAAGAACCACTATTACAAAATCCTCAACAGAGAAAGCAGTTGTGGCCGAAAGGCTCAGTCTCTCCACGTAAGAAAAGAGATCTGTGGACATGTGAGGGTAACAATAAAGATGAAGATCTTGTTGTTTATATGTATCTTTGGCTTCCACTGTTCGGGGGGAATCAGGAAAACAAGACAATACGATGTGAGAATAACCTGGACTAGAGGAGGCAGCCCTGGTCATAGTGGGCCACAACTCTGGGGTTCTGTTTGGAGTGGCAGCATTACGGGGGTCAGCAGCTCCACTTCTGATAGGAAGAGGAGGGGATGCTGGTAAAAGCAGCAACAGTACTGGGGCCAGGGCAGCAGTTCTTGGTTCCAGTCAGGTGTGCTTCCCAGAATCCGGGGAGGAAAGGCTGCTAGCCAGAGGGCGGCACCTGCAGTCTAGGGAAACTTGAGGGTTAGGACTGTAGTTAACAGAAGCCAGTGAAGAACGCTACATTGCTTCCGTAAATAGGTCTGTCTGCATCACTTCAAGTTTGGAACCTTCAGGTTTAGTCATCCTACTTTGTTATTCTGAGAAGCCCAGTTCAACTCTTTAGCTAAAGATGGAGAGCTCCCTGCATTGACATTTTTCCCTTTGAGAAAAGAGAGTCAGAATCTTAAGAGTCTATCTTCCCTCCATACCTCTACTGGTAGCTTCTGTGAAACACTGTAAGGGATGGGAAACTTTTAGAAGCATCTTGTTTTTCAGAAGTTCCATCTTTTTAATGTATGTGTATGAGTGTGGCCCTCAGAGGCCTCTGAATTCTATACAAAGAACACAGATGTTTTTGGAGTGGGTATGGGATCTGGGGTTACCAAATTGAAGTTAAAGCCAATGTCATTTGATTCTGGGGCACAGAGACATACTGCAGATGGCAGATACTCCGCCGTCCACATGCCACCCCGAACCACACTGCTATTCTTCACAGCTTCTAAGAGTCATTGCGCCTTTTCAGGTAGATTATGGCAGTGGTTCCTAAACCCAGTTGTACCTCAAAAGGTTTTAGGACAAGGACTGGAATCCTGGGAAGCTTATGAAAATACTTTGAGGCCCCATCCCAAACCTACCAAATCATCTCTAGAGATAGGACCTGGGAGCCTGTAGTTTTTAAAGCTTCTTCAGGTAATTTTGATACCTAGCCAGGTATACGATCACAAGAAGAATCATGGCCAGCGGAGTTTACTATAAATGCACCCTTGACCTGAAGCCGATGGCCTCTACCACCATCACCATAGACAGTATCTGTCACACCAAATACCTGAGTGTCTTCCAACCTGGAAATTTCAGCCTTTTAGGCTGAAAAAGGTTCTAGCATCTCGGTTTACAGCTTTAGTCTGCTAAAACTTAGTAGGGTATAGGAGAGAACACTGGACCAGGATTCAGGAGATCCAGATTCTAGTCCCCATTCAGAACAGCAGCAACTGTGTAACAGTGGTATGCCTTTTAGCTTCTCCAGACCTCAATTTCCACTGAAGGTAATTAACATCTGCTGCGTCTTTTGTAATAATCAAATAAGACAGTAGATGTAACTGTGCCAAAGAAGTAGAATTATCCTTCCTTCTCTTTCCTCATTTGTCCTTGCTTTCAAAACTTGAATCTGCCCTAGCATTTTCCTGTATGTATTTTTCCACCCCAGATGCTGGAGAAGTTGCTAGCAAGCAAAGGTCATGAGAGATTTCCCTTTGCTGCTACAGTCTAGCAAAGAAATTAAAGATTTCACTGCCATTGCTAATCCAGATTACATGGGACTAATGGGATCATTAAAAGTGCAAGAAAGCAGAGTTCTGGCTGGCAGGCAAGGCAATACAGCTATTGTTTATCCATGATTATGGAAACAGGTATAAATAAAAATCAATAATAAGATACTTCATTTTAGCCAATAGTTTAAACCCTTTCTGCTCTCTGCCTCTTCATTCAAGCAACTGAACTATCTGCATACAATGGAAACGGATCTTGTTTATAGTTACTGAACACACCTGGTTCTCATTTCAAATTGCAGTATAGATAGTGAGCAGCCAGAAAAAAGACCGAACATTTTCAATAACTGCCTAAAGAGGCCCAGGCCTCTCTTATTGAAAATTTGGGGAAAGGGTCTGACATTCCTAAAGACTCATAATCTCAACCTGACAACTACAACAAAAAAACCTATCAAGAGGAAAAATGAACATATTTCTATGTTTTAAGCTAAACAAGTCATACAAAATAGAAAAGTCATAGGACACATAATGACACTGCAGCTGACTGAATTTCCTTACTTATTAAAGAACAGACATAAATTTTGTTTAAATTTTTTAAAATGACATTAAAACTTAGCTTATCTTTCCACTAAATGAAAGTGAGAAAAAGGCTGGCTTTCAGATCACGTATTTATTTAAAAAAATAAAATGGAGTGACAAAGTTACATTATTCCGCATGCTAACAGGATTTCCCAAGCTCGTGAGAGAGATCATTTCTTGAGCAATAAAAAAATGACTTACTTCCCCAACAATGTAAAGACAGGAAACCTTTCAATCCAAATTCGAGGTCTTTATCACTAGGTCCACCTCACAAGCTAGTGGGATCTATCTGTGCCACAAGCTGAGCTCCTTCATAAAGAAAGACTGAGAAGACACTAAACAAGGATGTCACTAAAAGATGACGATTTGTTAAAATTATAAAGCAACCATCTCGTGACCTGCAAATGTTCTGCATTAGAAATCTCCACCACTGGGGATCTGCTCCCCATGACATTTTTATTCTGAATCCAGGATAATTACAAACACATGGCATTTTTTCCTGCATGCTTTCTTGGGCCAAATCCTGTATGACAACATGTACAATTTACAGGATGGGACTTGCAATTCTCATTCTCCCACAGGATAGATAAGGAGTGTTACCAGTAACAAAGAATAAAAGTTATACAACATTGATTATTATAAATTATATTTGTTCTTATCCACCCATTCTCCTTAATATGTTCAGATTCTTTCCTGAAGAAAACATGTTTCCTATATAACACCAGTTACATTATTAGTGATGATTAGAATGAGCTGTAGAGACCTTGATTCTGAAGACATGTATGTGCAGATGTGATGCAATCTGATTGCAAACACTGACACAGTAGCGGATCAAATCAAAGAAAGAGAAGACCTGGAAAGAAAAGAGACTATTAGATTCTCAGGACCTACTTAGGCCATCCCTAAGCTTCCTGAAAGTGAAGAGGAGTGGCTTCTGACTTCTCTTCAGATTCACCTTCAATTCCATATAATTTAATAACTCAATTTACTCACAGATTTTTCCTTTACACCAAAGATCAACAAACTCCTAGAGAGAGAGTAAATATTTTAGGTTTTGCAGACCATACTGTCTTTGTCACAACTGCTCAAATCTGCCACTGAAGCATAAAAGCAGCTATAGACAACACATAAATGAATGGCCATGCTGTGTTCCAATAAAACTTTATTTACAAAACAGGCCATTGGTCCACAGGGTGTAGTTTGCCAACTCCTGCTTTACAGTCAGAAATCTGAAATTTATGAATCCTAATGTAGGCAGGGCTAATAAGAATAATGCAAAAAATGGCTCAAAGACAAAGAAACAAGGAACTCTCACGAAGTCCCATAAATGTGGCTTTCTGACATTCCAAATCATCACAATTATATGATCTATCTCTAAGGACTGGCCCTCTGAAACAAGAAAACAAGTAGCCTCTAAATTATGATATAGGACAATGTACAATACTTACCAGAGCAATCCAAAGTACAATATATTCATCAATAAAACTGTTAAAATATTGGTCCAGAAACAAAAGTGCTGGGCCTATGAATGCTGTGTCATGCAAATGCATTTCACTTTTAGTCATGTGTGCCACCTATGAATAAAAGAGAATCAATGATGTACGCATTTTCATATTACAGCAATTGTGAGCTACAAGTCAGTCAGTACTGTGCTCAAATACCAAGTTTCAAGAATTCTTTAGCAATATTTGTTGAATTTCCAAAACTAAAAAGCTGACAACATGGTGTGTGTGAGAGCTATACATCAAAGGGGTATACCACATCAACGAAGTCCCCAAAAGGAGACTTTGCACAAAGAGTCTTAATTTGAGTGTAGAAATTGAGATTGACGAATGCAGATAAACTAAACAACTAAATTAAACTGTGGATAGAAAGGAGAAGAATTGTAAAGGTTCTGGTAATCTCAAATTGTAGCTCCACAGAAGAGTAAAAGCAGCTCCCATGTTGATATCAAAATATTCTGAGCGGAGGAGGGTAAAGTCTAGAACTGCTTTGGAAGCTGTGGAATAAAACTATGGCTGTAAAACCAAAATAAGATGAAAGTTAAAAACAAAACAAATAAAAATTTTGGTGCTTACCACAAGCTTATTGGTGATTTTAGCAGATACAAAACCAAATGTCAGAATATAAAGACAGGGATGCTTTTCAAAAAGCTGAACTGCAGATTTCTTATAGATCATTGCAGCTAACGTAATCACTGATCCAATATGGAGAAAAGGAGAAAGGACACTTGTTCCCTGTAAACAGTAAAGAAGGGAGAGGAATTAATGGTATTCAATACTGATCAGATACTACACGGATCTGCTGTAAGAGAGATCAACTCAAACTTTTAAGAACCTCATGATGCCTAACGGCCAGCAGTTTCTATAACCGAATACCAGAACAACTAATAAAAAGCAGCAGCATGGACTGGTTAGGCAACAAACTAAGGATTTTACTCAAGAAGCCAGGCTTATTTTACAAAGCAGGTCATACTTTTTTTAATATACGTGTATAAAAGTGCATGTGTCTGTGTGTGTGTCCATGCAGAAAAATATGCTATATAAGCACATAAATGTATGCATGTATAAATAAAACTGAGAAGTTTTAGACATTACCTTTTTTAAAGACTAACTTGAGACTCTAAACAAGTGATTTTATACAATTTGAATGAAAAATAAAGTGACCACAAAATCAAGTCTTAGCATAAACAATCACTGGAAATCTTAAGATATACTTACTGCTATTGTTGATCCATTTTTTCCAACACCACCGGTGAAGATTACACGGAAGTAATTTGTACAGGAAAATATGGTCCCTGCTACAGTACAAAGTGCAGGAAAAATTTTCATTT